TGAGCTTCCAAAAAAACCACGCCTACCTTTGGCGAAATTCCAGCAATGAGGGTTAAAAAGTGAAATTTGGCTTTTACCGCTAACCACGTCATTGACAATTACCAGGGACGCGTGAGAAAGTAACCCCCCCCCCCCTCTCTCTCGCGTGCCGATACGTTTCAGTGCGACTTTGTTTACCCACGTAAGAACGCAGAGAGGCGAGGATAGTGTAATTTGCAAGAGTGACCCTGGTCACCAACATGATAAAAGCAATAACATTGAAGAAAAAAAACTTAAGTCCAATAATGAAGCAAATATAAATCAGAGCAACGGCGTCATCAATTAGTTCCGTGGGCCATTTTTGACTCGAGTACCAATTGGACATTATTTTATTCATCTCGTGTCATGACACCAGTAAGATAATTTAGGTGGGTGGGGGGGGGACATATTTTAAAAAAAGTATTACCTTGCAGAATAAAATTAATAACCTTTAATGCATACCGAGACTTGACTGATTCGCTTGGCCGTCTGTAGATGTTGTGTTGGGAACGCACGTGACGGCTCCCCCGACCCTCGTACCCCGCTCGTGTTATTGTTGCTTATTTAAGCAAATCTGAAGTGAGGTGGGGGGGGTCTCAGACTGACGGTGACTGCTATCTCTTTGCTGCGAGCTGAATTGTGAAAGAGCAGAGGCCGGTGTGACGCATCCACTTGTTCGTCTGCGCCGCGCTCCTTAGGGGCCGTCCATAAATGACGTCACGCACCTAGGGGGGGGGGGGGTCAGACATTTGTGACTATGTGTGACGAGGTGGGGGGGGGGGGGGTTTGAGAAATATGACGTCACATAAAAATGCGCAATTTTAAATAAATATAGACAACGCGTTCTACTTAATTAAATAGACTTTTTAATACATGTTTTTGGGGGGGGGGGGGCGGGCAGAGCTCTGTGACGTCATATTTGAGGGGGGGGGGGTCTGACTTTTTGTGACGCCATGTTACGAGGGTGGTGGGGGGTTAAAAATCGTCCAAAATCGCGTGACGTCATTTATGGACGGTCCATTACAGCTGCACGCGGGAAGACTCAAACGGCTGGAGGTGGGATGAGCGGGGGCGGGGGTGATGCGGCGGGGATGCGCTCGTGTGAGTTGCCGTGAAGGGGAGAAATATTTTGGGACGACCAGAGAAGCAGAACAGAGTCGTGAGAGGTCAAGACGAGAGCAGCTGCCGGTGGTAACGCGGGGACTTGGGTTGGGGTGGAGTTTTATCCCAGAGAGTTAAGGGGCCGTCCATAAATGACGTCACGCGATTTTGGACGATTTTTGACCCCCCCCCCCCACTTCGTCACACGGCGTCACAAAAAGTCAGACCCCCCCCTCAAATATGACGTCACAAAGCTCTGCCCCCCGCCCCCTAGGTGCGTGACGTCATTTATGGTCGCCCCATAAGGGAGAGAGAGCTGCCAAGCAAGCCGTGGAAATACAGCAGCGCGCGCGACAGAGTTGGGGTTAGGATTAATTGAATGGGATTCTGCAGAATAATTATGGCGTGTAGCGATACCAACACAGCCGCCATTCGCCACTAAGTGGCGGTGACGTCACCACGGCGCCTGTGTGCCAGGCCAGGTGCACGTTGAGGCCACGCGACGTGTCGAAGACTCGCTGGCAAGGCGGTCTTGGGACAGACCCAGCAAGTGCCACGGGTTGGCTGATTTGAGATGACTGGTAGATGCGCACCAGCTGTACCCCCTTACTGTGCCAACCGATAGCGTTTGAGGGTGATCGTGTTTTAATGCACCGCTTTATTTGACCGACATTTAGCGAACAATAGTTTTGGTAATAAAGTGATTATGATGTCAAACCCGAGCGTCGGCGGTGTTGTGCGTGAGTTTGGAGGGTGATGGATCACCCCCGAGATGATGGGTCACCTAACTGGAGGTGCAGGAATGCAGCGCCCCCTAGTGTTGTCACAGCCACCTGGAGCTGTCCGCCTCGTCGCAAATCGGTCAGCATCACGGCGTGAGATGGAGGCGATGTGGCGGGTCGCTCTCATGTTAGCTTATGGATCCCAGAACACCAAGGGGTGCTTTGAAAACCACCACCAGTCAAGGATATAATGTGTGGGCAAAGGAAGGAGAAAGGCAAGAGAGAGAGAGATGAGAAAGGATAGGAATTGAGAGGCAAAGAAACGGTGATATCGGAGGACCAAATGGTTACATAAGGGCCTTGACAGCAAGCAGAGCAGCGTTTGTTTTACACAGGGGGTGGGGAGAGGGGAGGGATTCAGAGTGGGGGTGGCCACACAGAAGTCACGTGATTTATGGAAGGCTTTTGTTGATTTTAAATATATAATGGTGGCACTTGCTTCTGCAGCCATGCTCTTCGAGTCCGATTGCCAGATTTTTCGTTCAACGGAAGTAAATTTTATCTGCGATGTTTGCCCAGTGGATCTTGTTTTGATTATATGGCCCTTTGTCAATGCACTGCTGGATGAAGACCTCGTCATGCTGTGTCGGTTGTGGGGTTGTTTGACCATACTGATTCAAGTTCAAGTAAATTTATTAGGTATAACCCTGTGAGCCATTCGGCTCTTGAATCGGGTGCAACCGCAAAAAACAAAAAACAAAAACATGAACGAGAAAACATCTTAAAGTGACTATGTGCAAACAGAAAATCCAAGAAAAGACAGCAAAATATTGCAGAAAAAGCACCGTACACCAACGCTGTGTGCAAAAATCCCAGTGGGATGCAAGTCAAACAACAACAAGCACAAGACAACTTAGATTAAGGCCATCAGTCTAACTCCGTACTAGAACAAACAAACATGACCAATCAGTTTCAAGGACAATGCATAAATTATATTATCAGAGTGTTGTTTTTTGTTTGCATTCTGACTGCAAGTATTGTGGTTAATGTAAACATGATTCCTTGCAAAAGGTTTCAGTTTTGTCGCCAGAAAACAAGGGGAAAAACCTTATTATTATATTTTGGTACTGGAAAAGGAGGCCTCATGACATAGGTGCCACTTTTATTTTTTCAAGGCGTTCTGCTCTTCCCACCCAGCTTAAAATACGCTGCCAAGCTTAGTAGTGTTTCATTAGGACGCTGTCTTTCCGACAGCTCTGTTCTTCATCTGAGGATGGCTGCTTGTGTTGTGGCCGAAACGTCGTGAGAATTTTATTGTTTGATTTTTATTATTTTATTATTTCCCTTCTACGTGACTTTACCGAAAGATCCAAGAATATGAATCCCTACAATCACAAAAGCTTTAAATCGAAATTGTATTTTTGACTTTGTTTCCCTTAAAAAAAAAAACTCCCCACAACAAACGTGGTCATAGCTAACATAGCCATGTTTTTGGGAAGTACTCGCAATGTCAGATGATATTTGACTTGAGCCATCATCCGAGGCATCACAAACACAGGATCCTCACATCCCTCCTGGCTCCCCCGCAAAAAACACAAACCGCCAACTCCATCACGCGTCGCACCATCAGCCACGTCCCTTGCACGGGGTAGTGATCCCGCCTAGATAGGGCTGTCTGCTCCCATCGCGATCGCAGGGAAGGTGAGAATCTCGGGGTTCAAATTGCACAGCTGTCGCTGTCCCCGCATGCATGTTAACGAGTTGTCTCGGTCGCCGCAGCCAACGTTTTATTTTTGGCGATTCTACGCACTCTCCAAGCGCTAATAGATGTCCGTATGACTTCCTGGCAGTGGTCATTTATTTTTGGAGCGTGTGCCTTGCGTGCCCGGTGTTTATTTGACGTTATTATTCCTTTGGTAGAGGGGCCACGGGGTGTGGAAAATTAAGTAGCCCTCGGACGCGATTTGTTTTTAAATGGCGAGCACAAACAATTGTGTGTGTGTGTGCACGCTGTGAGGAAGCAGTGTCGAGTGCGAATACTCACCGAGTTTCTTTACCCTTATCGATAAGCAATTGTGTGTTTGGCAGAGAGAGTTTTGGTGTGGCCGCTTTTTGCCCCGTGCTGTGTGCCTGCCCCTGCCACCTTTAATTTCTGCCGCCCACTCAAACTAAAATTATTTTAAAAAATATAATAATGGGGTTTTCCCATTTTTTTCTGGCAACAAAACTGAAACCTTTTCACAAGGAATCATGTGTGCATTAACCACAATACTTGTGGTCAAGATGCAAACAGAAAACGCACGCTGATAATAAAGGGGGAAAACCCCTATTATTATATTTTGGTACTGGCAAAGGAGGTATAATGATATTTAAAAAATCTTTTTTTATTTTACCGGGTAAGGCCAACTGAGCTATATAGCTCTTTTCAGAAGCGACGTGGCCAAAAATGATAGCTCAACGTGGCCACAAATGATAGTGTCTTATCATGTGGGAATTTAAATGCATGTTGATTCTAAATGTGGAGGGAAAACTGGAGGACCTGGAGAAAAATTCACACGACCATGGGGAAACATGCAAACTCCAAACATATAGCAGGCATCAGGGTTGGAATCGAACCCACGACCTGCATACCAGGCGAGGTAGTTAACATCTCGCGTCCATGGAAATTCACTACCTACGAGCCTCACTGCACATGATTAAATTTTTTTGAAAGGGGTTCCAAATGAAAATGAAATGTAGCCGCGTGCGCCGCTATGTTTGTAAAGCCTGCACGCTTGTACTAAGGCAAACAACATGAATTCACTTGTAATTCATTTCGGCGCTGCTGCACATTGAAGAGTCGTGCACAATGCGCATATTTAACCCTTTCTGGTTCCGAGACGTCTGCAAGTTGTAAGGTGGGTCCCGTTCACCGCTGAATCTCGGAACGTGCGAGCCGTTTGCGTTTATTTTGTTCAGAGAGGCATTGCGTCGGTTGTTTTTCAAGACATTGTACTCGCCGCAGATAACTGAGGTAACATGACCGCACCCTACGGTAGCTGGCGACAAACTACCACGCCCTCCCGCGTGGCCTTGTGAGATCCTCAGTACGTCTTCCAACCTAAAGACGTAGAAATTAAGTTTTCAGAACGGAATCAGAAGAAAAACCGACGACATAAACGTACATCACCGGATTGGGAAAGGGTTAAATGTGTTAATCTCGCCAACCCGTGCTTTGTTTTTGCTTTTCCACAGGGCAGCGATGAAGCGGCATGGGATGAGATCTGGGCAAGCAGGAAAATTATTTTACTTCTTAGCCTCTAATAATCGACGCAAAATTGATTTGGAATAAAATTATTAAACCCTATAAATTGAGGAATCAATTCGTTAAAGCCATCCTGAGCTATTTTTTGTTGTTGCTTTAATCTATTTTCTTTCCAATGAAACTTAACTTGGCACCGTTGAAAAGATCGGTTACAACCAGCCTAAGGACGACCAAAACAAATTAAGAGATTGCAGGAAAGAGGTAATCGGTCAGCGGAAACCTACGCAGCTTAGCAAACTATGTTTTTTAATCGACAACGCTAGCACAGAAGCAGCAGCAGCAAATGCAAATGTTGACTCCAGTGGAAGGATGGTGAGAAACGAACGAACAATTCACTTGCCACAGCATCTCCAGATTTACACCTGAAGTAGCACCAGTGGAGGCCACTGAACCCGAGTGTCGACTGCGAGCGAGCACAGCTAAAACTGGCCAATCGGCGGACTCGCGTCGCGATGAAGGGACTCACGGGAAGCCACACTCAGCCGCAGCTGAGCTCGATGGCTTCCGGCGGCAGTCTGGGCGGCCTCAGCGGGGGCGGCGGCCCCATGATGTCGGACGAGACGCTGCGGGCCACGGCGGTGGGCGACGGCTCGCGGAGGGCCTACATGCTGGGGCCTCCGCCGCCGCTGCTGGAGCACGTGGCGGGGGGGGGCCCGCCGTCCGTGGCGGCGCACCACGGCCTCATCATGCCCGGCGTGCCGCCCCACGGCGGCGCTGCGTCGGTGTCGCGCGCCTCCATGCAGGTGGAGATGGCGGGGATGGCGGGCAGCGGCTCCCACCCACACGGGTTCCCGCTCGTGCTCACCGAGCAGCTGAGCGCCAGCAGCACCTTCCCCAGGTGATGCTGCCGCGTGACCGATCGTCGTCTGACGCAAGTTCGAGGCTTCCGCAGGAACTAAACACAATTTTAAATCGCAGGCAGCGATGCTGCAGCGATACCAAACTGCAATAACAAATGCAAAGCCGTGGCAGTGATGCTGACGTGACATTACAGGAGTGCTCCGAACTGAAAATTGTAAGAATGTATTTTTTAAAATCTCATTAATCATCCCCGCCGATATGCGTCCAAACCAATCGGTTCTTGGAGGCAGAGGACAGTGCAGTAAAAATCAATTGTTCTACTGTACTTCCACCACCGTAACAGACCCACACTGAGCGGCGTGGTGAAGTCTGATCAAATAGCCCCCACGACCTACGTGGCGTGAGGGCGTCCTCATCCAGCAGTGGATTAACAAAAGCGCCGTAATGTAGAATGAAGCTTTGAACTTGTGTTGGAGAGTCTGGGACGAACGGCCCTGGGCACAACATCCAAGCTGTTTTGGTTTTGGATTGCATTTCACTTTACTTTTTTTTATGCTTTTAATGCTACACAACTTGAGCCCGGTACAATACGCCGATGTGTATCTATAACATCAGAGCTGTTTCTTTGTTGTTTTGGTTTTGGATTGCATCTCACTTTATTATTATTTTTAAATGCTTTTATTGCTAACCAATGCGAGCCCGCTACAATACGCCGATCGCCATTAGAATGGAACAGAAATTCCGCGAGCAGCAACTCCAATTTGCTGCGGCGAAAACGTACAAAGTGGGGGGGGGGGGGAATTGGACTCGCTGCCCCAGCCAATTGGGAACCACGTGCAGGGACATGAGGATTTATATGGGGAAAGGGAAAGGTGACTAACATACTGAGGGAAAACCAGGGACGGGGGGAGTGGGGGAGGGGGGAAGATAGAAGCAAAGGAGAACCCCTACAAATGAAAATAACATACATATGGGCTCATGCACTAACCTCCCACCGCTAAAGGATTCGCTCCGGCCCGTTCACGCCTGAGGGGCGCAGCCCCTCTTTGCACCCGTCCCCATCTCCAGACCTCTTTTAGGCTCCGTAGGAAGGGGCACCCCCTGGTCCTCACTTTATAGTTTAAAAAAAGTCTCGGTTTTCGAAACTTTTTGTTTGGCAGAAAAGTGCCCTGCGCTAATGCTAATCACCGGAATAGCTGGTGTGCTAAGTGAACATCAGCACTGGGGAACACACGGAGCTCTCCATGGTGCTGAGTGTGCCTTCTTACAGGACCACGCGAGCCATGGGCCAGCTAATGGCACTTGACCCGACAAATCCAAAGGCTAAATGGGAGACGTTTGTCTCCTTTTTGCGTAAAACACACGCATTACAATTTTACATTTTCTTTGCACGCGAGAATACATGGGTTTCCAGCCATCCAACAGGTTACGCATTCGACCGGCGTAATTTCCATTTAATTGGTGCGGCAGATATGTTAATTGTAGAATCGTAGCCCGTGATTTATGTTGCTGTGTATTTGAAGCACGGTAGCCTGTGGCCTGTAAAACTGACACATCCATATACATAGCATATTTAATTTATCCATCTGTGAGTCTGCCTGTCAGTTATTCACAGCGCTTACTGGAATAATGTTTTGCTGTACATAGTCGAGTAAAGACTCATTCCCACTGGCAGGAACCAGGGACTTGTGGTATTGATCACGACCTATGCATAATCTATGAATTTGGATCTAGGCTAAACAAGTAGATACAACTTTTCACAATTGCCAATTTAGATTCATAACCCATCATTTCCCTCCACTGGTAATCTGGTTAATTGTCATGATTGGAGGTCACGATTAATTCAAGTATTTATTCTTTACATTGAGGTGAATGGTAGTGCTGCTAGTGACTGCAAGGACATGAACTGAATATGTGCAAATATGAAAAAACATACACTGTTACATACGTGATTCAATGAATTTATCGTGGCGAGCTTAGGAATTGATGTGAATTGATTAATCCATGCATCATTCGTGATGCTTTTCTTCTGAGCCTAACGAGGTTTCAGGTTACTCGAGCAATTCTGTTAAGGAACGGCATTGGCGGTAATTAGGAAATTAGCTTGGAGAAGATTCACCCCATTTGTAGGATGGGCTGCAGCTTATTGCTGATGTACATTGGGTGACTGGGACAGGGTGGGAGCCTTATCCTGAAAGAGTCGCTCATGGGAACATGCCCATCACAAATACAACAGCACTTCATTCTGGGATTTGAGTTCAAAGGGCCTTCAATCTCTCTACGAGCCATCTGCCTTTTTTTAAGTTATCAAACATAAACTGATCGCGGAGCCCCTGTGTGTGTTTCGAGTGATTGTTTTATATATGCCACCATTTCATTATTCTGTGAGCCATAACTGCATTAGGTTGCTTGTGAAGGTCGGTTGAATGGATAAAAACATTTCTTACGGGTCACCTTCATACGTTTGGACATTTGTTAAAATAAATATAACCGTTGTGTCCTGACTTTTGGACCACCCTGCATAACTCTTTATAAGCAGTGGAGAGTGGTGGTGCACTGGTTGGGTCCCGAGCTACGGCTAACATCAGTGGCGGGTGATTGCCGATCTATCCCGAACCCCCTCGTCACCACCCTCCGTCTTTACGAACTCGTGCTAACCAGCTCGGTGAAGTATGATGGTCACACAACCCTCGTGACTGATGCAGCGAGGGGAGCCCTCCATACAGCAGTAATTGGAATATGAAATTAAACTAGGAGTCACGACACCGTGATTAATACACCCACATCTGCCACATCCAATAAAATACAATTTTCACTTAAAAAAATCCATTGTTTATTAGCTTTCTCTTTTAAAGATCATGAACATATTCATCGGGCGCTATTTCAGATTATAGTGTGTTCATTTTTGCAGAATTTACAGCCTGTTTTATTGACCCTTTTTTATACAAGTGAGTGGGCTGTCCCCTTGCTTACTCTCCCCTTTGGCGTCACACTCCACAACGTGACACTATGGGCAACCAACCCCAATGTCCAACACCGCATGGGGAGGCCTTCATCCGGCATTCAATTGATCGTGGCCTACTCTCGACGATGAATTAATTTCTCAAAACATTTCACGAACATCTAACGGGCGGAACCCCAGCGACTCGAACCTCCACGTGTCCTCCTCCCCCCCTCCCCCTGCTCGCAGGATGCACCACTACGCTGGCGGCGGAGGTGGTGGCGGTGGCATCAGCATGATGTCCGGTGGTGGCGGGGGCGGTGGCGGCGGCGGCATCCTGCCCTCGCCCTCCTACTACGACCCGCGAGACGACGGCTCCATGACGCTGGCGCACCCGGGCAGCCTCTCGGGCCGCATCCACCGCCTGCCCACCAACCTGCTGGACCAGTTCGAGCGACAGCTGCCGATGCACGGGCGCGACGGCTTTCGCACGCTGCAGTACCAGCGCCTCACCCTCGAGCAGCGCAGCAACAGCTCGGGGCGCATCCGCCACCTCGTGCACTCGGTGCAGCGCCTCTTCACCAAGTCGCACTCGCTCGAGGGGCCCGGCAAGGGCCTCAACGGCGGCCTGAGGGCCGACGCGCACCGCCGCCAAGGCAAGGGCGGCAAGGACCGCCGCGCGCAACAGGACTCCGCTGCCGCCGCCGCTGCCGCCAAACAAGTGAAGCCCGGGGCGGCGGGGCCGGCGGGCGCCGGCGGGGGAGCGGCCCCGCCGGTGGGCGGCACACTCGACAAGGCCTGCAGCGGCAGCGCGGGGGGATCGTCTGCCAGCAGCTGGTGGAGCTCCGACACGACCCTCGACCACCACCACCACCAGCAGCAGCAGCAGCACCACCACCACATGGGCGTTGGGATTGGCATTCTGACATCCCCGGTGGGAGGGATGGGGGGCCTGTCGGGCTCCGGTGGGGGCCTCCAGGCCATGGGGCTTCATGGAGCCGGGCCGCCCGGTGGTGGCGGCGGCGGCGGCAGCGGAGGGAGATTTGGGATGGTGCCGACAGGCGGAGGCTGTGGTATGCCGCCGGTGGGGAGGTTGGGGTCCGTCGGTGGCGGCGGTGGTGGGGGAATCAGCATGGCGAGCACCGCGCTCGGCATGGGCATCCTGAGCTCGGCGGGCGGCTTGGGGCCTGGCTCGGAGCCCCCCGGAGTATCGTACTACATGGACCCGCCGTGCCCCAGCTACGACGAGCTGCCCCCGCCAGGCACGGGCGGCAGTGGCGGTGGGCCCTCCTCGTCTGCGTTGGCCTCAGCCTCGATGTCGGCGCAAACGGCCGATGAGGCAAAGTACATCAAGCACGGCACGTGGACGGCTCTCACCATCAACAAGGCGCAGGAGGTGTACCGCAAGGCGTCCCTCAACCTGGAGCGGGGAGACAAGTCGGGGCCCTGCCACTATCTTCAGGTGCAGTTCCTTTCATCTGATGATCTCCAGAAATGTTTGTTCATTCTCCAGTTCACTTTTGTGCAATTGTTTTGTTGCTTAATCGAGTGGTTGTTGTAGAGTATAGATTCTCAGAATTCGTCATCATTATCGTCAGCCCATAATCGATCAACCGCTGGATGAAGGCCTCCCAAAGCGTCCACAACCTCTCATGATCCCGATTTGATGAACTGTAACTAACTTTAACTGGCATTTGATTTCACAATTATTTCACTAGAAAACCAAAAATGGTAACTCGTATTTACATCTAAAAGTTATTGTAGCAGAAGTGGCCAAGTGAGTTGGCACTGCTGAGATCCTGCGTTCAACTGTAGGAGGCTGCCTCTGTGATTACACCAGGTTCTCATGTGTTGTGAGTTAATGGTCGCAGCCCAGTCATGTAAAATGTGGTTTTGCATATTTCACAAAGGGCTGCCTCCTGGCTCTACAAGACCGGTTTGCTGCTTATGCCGTTTAAATAAGGGGCATGATTTTCCCCACGTGGGGAGAAGCTGAATCATCATGTAGCCAAGCCAAAAACTAGGTTCATGAGGATAAAAGATGCCACTGAAAGATAAAAAACAATGGCACCAATACCAAATGTACTCGTGACTGATTTTTCTACGGCACCCTAGGGATAGAGTTCGTGTCGACCCTTTATAAATCTGTATTGCATTGTACTGTGCTGTTGTTTACTTCCCACAACGTGATGCCTATTTTATTGAGCCTGCAGGAGTGTGGTGATGGGCAATAGATGGCATGAGAGGTAATTCCATTGCAACGGCGTGCTATGAAGCAGGGCTTCATTTCAGCTGTAAAATATTTTCACACATGGCACACCAGTCACGTGCCGACTCCAATCTACCAGCGACCCAGAAAACATTCACAGTGAGAAATCAAGCCCTTGCTATGAGGGTAGCTTAAGCAGAACCCAATTAAAATAGCAGCAGTGGCTTTCATAGATGTCTGCACAAGTGAAATCAGTCACTGTTTAAGACGTGTGTCAGATTCGTCTCCCTATGCAAGGTTTTAACACCCCATAGTGCACGATACCACAAGGTGGTGAGGAGGAGAACTGGAGGGGTGGGTGGTGGGGGTCTCTGTGGACGAAGTGAGTGTGGAGTTGACCTGGAGTTGACCTTCATCACTCCGTATTCCCGGGGAGGTTCGCTCACAAGACACGCTCCACACTGCGTCTCTAGAGAGCGTGACACGAGCCAGTGGTCCACAACATTTTTTGGTGTGGCGGTTTCAACCCAAATCAAGACCGCTGTTCTTTGTGCTCCTCCGGGCCAGTCCCCGTACCCCCTCTAGGTTACTAAGGCCACAATAAAGAGAGAACACATGTCCACTCCTCTCGTCGATGCGGCGTTTGTCATGAATTTTTTTCATGTTGTGTATTTGGGCACCGCGGTGGAGAAATTTTAATTGCCTCACCTGGTATATAGGTCATGGGTTCCATCCCGATCCTGATACCTGTATATTTGGAGTTTGCATGTTCTCTCTCCCCATGGTTGCGTAGATTTTGTTCCGGGTCCTCCGGTTTTTCCATCCACATTTATAAACACGCGTTTAGGGGATTTGGTTGCTAAAAATGTCCACGTCATAGGCCACTTTGCTGAGCTATCATTTGTGGCCAAGTTGCTTCTGAAAAAGAACTAAATAGCTCAGTGGGCCTTACCTGATAAAATAAAAAAAGTTTCTTTTTTCTTTTTTTAGTACACGAGTGTGTATGCCTGCTCGAGTCTCACTCACCTGGCTGACGCAGCTGGCCTGGCCGACGGTACTCATGGCTAAGTGGACCTTACCTGGCAAAATGAAACAATGCATATATTCGCTTAGTTAAGTGTGTTTTATGTTTGCGCGATTTGTCACCGCGACGTGGCACGGTATCCATGCAGCAGCCTTCACCTCCACCCCCCCCCCCTCCACCGCCCCCCACCCCTGCCCACCCCCAACCATTTCCCCCGAGAGCCCCGTGGCTTGCGATCCGTCGGACTGATTCCCGACGTGACTGGCACCGCCAGGTCCCGCGCGAAGGCTGGAGCACGCTGCCCGAGAGCGGCGGCCGCAGCGGCGACAGCGAGATCCCGTGCCGCCGCATGCGCAGCGGCAGCTACATCAAGGCGATGGACGAGGAGGAGACCGACGAGGAGGACGAGGACGAGGAGGAGGAGGAAGAGGAGGAGGACAGGGCACGCGAGGATCGCGACGACGAGGGAGACGACGACGAGGCGGACGAGGCGGCCGACGAGATGGAGGCGGCGCCGCTGCCCAAGCTGTCGCTGCACGGCGCGTGCCGGCGCGAGAGCTACCTCAAGGCGACGGGACAGCAGAGCCTGGGCCAGAGCCTGAACGAGCAGGCCTGTCTCAAGTGAGCGCCACATGCCGCCGTCTACCACCACCTACCACCACGTGCCACCACGTGCCTCCGCCTACCACTGCCTACCGCCACCTACCGCCGCCTACCGCCGCCTACCGCCGCCTACCGCCGCCTACCGCCGCCTACCGCCACTCACCACCACCTACTGCCACGTGCCGCCACCTACCACCGCCTACCACCGCCTACCACCGCTGCCGTGTTCACTTTGTCGTGCGATCATCCTTCAATTCACTCGCGCATTAATATGCTAATTTGTTTGTTCGTTCGTTTGACCACTCATTTGGGTGTTCGCTCATTTATTTACCTGTTAATTTAGCCATTCATTAAGAGATGCATTCAGTCATTTAATATTTCATTGCATTACTTGCATTCACCATTTCGCTCGTTCATTTATTTGCTCAATGATTCTATCGCTCATTAATTTTTTTCACTCATTCACTTACCCATTCATTCAATAATTCACCCATTCATTCACTGATGTTCTCATTCAACCAAACATTCAGTTGTTCACTCATTCGTTTATTTATTCCTTCAGTCACCCATTCTCTCAATCCTTAATTGGGATGACCAGGGGGGGGCACGCCAGACGGTAACGTCCACTGCAGAGATGGAGCGATGAAATCAGCCCCTTGTGTAGAACAGTGAAGGACATCGGCTGCTTGGGGAGGCTTTCATCAAGCAGTAGAGCGATCGTGGCCAGTGGTGGTGATGATGATTATTATAATGGTTTGCACACTCGTTCTTAAATCCCGCCCCCCCCCCACCTGGGTCCACCCAGCAGTATAAATGGGGGCACCACAGTCGATCAATGTGGTGATGTAAATCGTGTGTATTCACACATCTTCCAGGAAGCAGGAAAAATACCCCTCTCGAGAGCAGCTCATTTGAGCTCCCTCTAGCGGAGGCTCTCCATCCGCCAGCAGTGGCCTGAGCAAGACAATTGCAGGGCCGCACCTTTAACTCATAACAGTGGCGGCGACGGCAGTGGCTAGATGCTAACTACCTCGCCTGGGATACAGGAGGTCGTGGGCTCGATCCGGACCCTGACGCCTGTTTATTTGGACTTTGCTTGTTCTCCCCATGGTCGAGTGGATTTGTATGCCTGCCCTCCGCTTTTTCCCTCCACATTTAGAATCAACGTGCATTTAGAGCATTTGACTGCTGCTCTACATTTCCACGCGATAAGCCTCTTCGTTGAGCGATCATTTGTGGCCAGGTCCGCTTCTGAAAAACAGCTGTATTAGCTCAGTGGGCCTTGCCTGGTGAGATAAAAAAAAGAGTTTGTTTGTTTGAAGAGCTGCTGAGCGACGGCTTGAAAAGTGGCGCATGTTTCCCCCGACAGGGGCTCCCCGAAGATCTACGCGCGGAGCCACAGCTACCTGCGCGCAGTGAGCGCGGTGTCCATCAACCGCAGCACGGAGAGCCTGGACGCGAGCACGCTGCTCGGCTCGCCCAAGTTCCGCTCGCGCAACGAGAGCTACATGCGAGCCATGAGCGCCATCAGCCAGGCGAGCGCCATCAGCCAGGCGAGCTGCATCAGCCAGGCAAGCTGCATCAGCCAGGCGAGCTGCATCAGCCAGGTGAGTGAGACTCGCACGTGCGCGCACACTTCTCACGTGCTAAGAAACTACAAACGTTTTATTTTACCAGGTAAGGCCCCGCTGAGCTATATAGCTCTATTTCAGAAACGACCTGGCCACAAATTATTGCTCAACGAAGTGGCTTATCATGTGGAAATGTACATAGCACGTTGATTCCAAATGTGGAGGGAAAAACCGGAGGACCCAGAGAAGAGAGCATTGCTGACTCAAAATATACAGCAGCACGCGTCAGGGTCGAATCCACGACCTCCTGTATACCAGCCGAGGTAGTTAACATCTCGCGACACACAACCCATCGTTGCATAACTATGAGTACCACCAGGTAAAACAGATGCATCAGCCAGGTGAGCTACAACATGCTGGGGGGGTGGGGGGAGGGGGTTGGGGGGAAGTGCAGAGGGTAGGGGGAGAAGGGGGAGGGACAGCAGACACATGGAGTGAAACACAAGATTACTGCGGGGTGGATAGCAGCATGTTCCCCTCTTGTGTGTGGGTTTTCTTCATGTATTTCAGTTTCCTTTGACTTGAAGCCAAACGCTCCTTCCTAAATGTTGCAGGAACCTCCCCAAAGAAAGATTCTTGAGACTCGGTGAGACTTCCCTGGCTACATACTTAGGATTACAATTGTTGATATGAATCATCAACATTGCTATTATTACTATTATAATCATACTAATTGCATTATTAGTTTCAGGGAGCATGAAGATGATGTCTCCAGAGAGAGAGAGAGCGGGCGCAGGAGTGAGCAGGCTGACACGGAGAGTAACACCTCAAGGCTGTTCCAGCGTCCGTCCGGCACGTCTGCGCAGTGCTGCTGTGGCGGCACGGGCGAATCTGCATGCTAAATCTTGATCCCCTCTCATTATTTGGTTCGTTTCATCGTCCGCGCATAATCGTGCCCGCAAGAGCTCGCTCCCCTCTCTCTTACCCGTCCCGATCATCGCTGAAGCACCGCCGCCGATTCGTTGCTGCTCGATGGCGCAGGGGATTTTATTTGTGCTAGGAGCACCGTGGAGAGGGTGGGGGGGGGGAGATCGAGTGATGCACACCAAAGCCTTGGAGATAATGGGCCAGCGATAGCAAGGGCAGTCATCTGACGGCAAAGTCGGCTAAGGTGACCGCGGTGGCTCGGTGGTCAAGGGACACTTGAGCCTGGCAACACTGAGATCCTGGGTACGGATGCGGGCAGACACCCGTGGTTATCAAACTGGGTTCTCAAACGGTAGCGAGTTGACGGTTCCAGCGTGGTTACCAATGGCTACACCTCGCACAAAACTTGCCACAATGAAATTTGGTTCGTCACCTAATTTGCCAAAATTTTAACTCTGAGATGTACAAAAAAAACCACGTTGATTGACATGAGACGAACACTCTTTGCAGGGCATCTGTATAAATATATGCAAGGCGTGTCTCTCGTGTACATGAAGACACCTCATGAAGTGACCTCAGAAGTATTTCTGTGTGGTCACCTTCTGGAGTCATTCTCTGACGCAGGGTGATGCACTGCTCAGCTGCAGTGTTCCCAATATGAAGTTTTACATTTCTGAATGCCATTACATGACGCCAATAGCACAATTAAGAGTGATGACCCTTGAGGGCACAGTGGCCTTCATGGTTGCCCCCTCTATGGAGGTCTAATGTTGCTTTGCTGGACACTGAGCTGGTCCCGCATTGGCTTCTGTTCAATAATAATAATAATTGTAATCGATATTTATTTACCCAGGACAGCCTCACTGAGTCTCTAGGCCAGGGTTTTTACAAACTTCAAGTCCTCACAGTGCACCGTGGTTCACTTGTCCAGGTTTTACCAAGGTTTTCCCTGAAAATGGAAATTAGGTCGTTACGTGCTGCACTTGCCTGATGATTGCCAAACACATTCCACTCCAAGTAGAGAGCGCCGATTCAAACGGAGAGCACTGTCTCCATCACGAGGGATACGCACAGGCACACATAATAACACAAAGACAATTAGCCCCCTCGTGTATAGCATTTTACAGACTGTAAGGTCAAGTGCTGTTAGCGAGCACCTATGAAGGCCAGGAAGGCGTGTACGGCATACCGTGTCCACTCATACGATTTACCCGTATTCTTGTGCAGGGAAATTGAGTTTTCAGGTCCATACAGCATACAGCCGTTTCAATCCGGGCAACAAACAAATTGTCTATTTGTTTGTGTTTCGCCCTTGTGATGGGACATTGTAGGATGAACGTTGATATTTATAAGGGCACGGGGTTAACAATAAGGTCTGAATTGGTTTGTAATAAGATAGGGCACTGATGAGGGGTTGACAGGTATGGTCTGATTTCGATTTTAAGCTTTCGTGACTGCAGGGATTCATCTTCTTGGTTCTTTCGGTGAAGTCACGTAGAAGGGAGATAATAAAATAATAAGAAATAAAACATAATAAAATAATACAATTCTCACGACGTTTCGGCCGCAACGCAAGCAGCCGTCCTCAGGTAAAGAATAGGTCTGTCGGAAAGACAGCGTCTGAATAAACACCGCCAAGCTTGGCAGCGTATATTTAAGCTGGGTTAGGGGCAAATTCTTTTGTCAAGGCGCTCTTCCCCCCCTAACCCAGCTTAAATATACGCTGCCAAGCTTGGCGGTGTTCATTCAGACGCTGTCTTTCCGAACAGACCTGTTCTTCACCTGAGGACGGCTGCTTGCATTGTGGCCGAAACGTCGTGAGAATTGTATTATTTTATTATGTTTTATTTCTTATTATTTTATTATCTCCCTTCTACGTGACGACTTCACCGAAAGAACCAAGACGAGGTATGGTATGGCCCCACCACGCCCGCCCGTCCACTCTTGTCTCCATCGTGCTGTCGTTTCCATACCGCAACCAGGCACACAGTTAAGGCTGAGTCGACCTATGAAAAGACCCAGGACCGGTTCAGATAATGACCACTGATGTTGGTCGTGATGAAGACTGTAATTCAAATCGCCGGGTCTGTAGCGTAGTGCCCGAAATCACTCCACTATCACTCCCCGCTGCTCCGCACACGCATACACAAGTGCACATAAAAGATCTGCATATTGATCGTCAGGCACGTACAGCATGTAAATGACATCCTATGTTGATACAAATGCAGGCAAAGTGGTGAATTCGTGTGCGTAGTGAGTCGTGAAGAATGGAGATCGGGAGATTCTGTTATGGTGTAGCTCACCGGCTTTCAACATGTAGCTTAATCCGTGCACCGCATCGGCATTTTCACTTATTTTGCCTCGCCACTTGTTTGCTGTGCATGATATGACACGTGCCCACAATCACGTGAATGAATAGTTCCTATCTGTGTCCCTTTGTGTCTGCGTGTTTGTGTGCACGTGACTGTAAGCGCATTTCTATGTGTGTCAGAGTGTGTACACATTTCTACGTACTGCGTGAATGTGTGCTTTTGTGTGCTCGCTTTTATGTGTGTGTGTTTACACATTTGTACATGTGGGAGTCTTTGTGTGAATGTGTGTGTTGGTGCGCTCACTTTTGTGTGCATGTGTGTGATTATATACGGGAGTCATTGTTATCCTGTGTGTGAGCGTGTGCGTTTGTGTGTCTGTCTGTGTGGGGAGTGGCAGTGTAGTGGTTACCACACCGCTGCTACGAATCTGGCGACCCGCTTATGACCACCATTTGTGACAAATATTACGAACCGGTCCTGGGGTTCCCCTAGGTCGACTCAGCCTCAAATCAGTGACTTGTGCTGTGTGTAAACATCACAATCGAGGAGCTAAAGGCGGCTGGGCGTGGTGCTGGCCACCCACCCACCCCCTGCGCCGTCAGCATTCATAGGTCCTCGCGAACAGCACTTGCTCCAACAGTCTGCTGAAGGCTATAAGGGGGATCTTTGTTTTTTGTGTGTCCGTGTGGTGCCCGTGTAAGCGTGTGTATATGTGAGTGCATGCGCTGTCCTACGATTCCTCAAACCTGGCCATGATGTTGCACATCAACACCACATCAACACCAGCCATTGGCTTGTGTGTCCCCTTAGGTAGATATAAAGGTAGTACTTGGTGTGCAATGTTGCAAAATCTGGGACATTAACTATTCGAGACGGATTGACAAGCTTGTGAAAATACTTCAGGATGCTGTGAAAAAATAAAAAAAATCTAGATTTGAAAACATTTACAATTTTTTTACCACGTAGGTGTTTTGGGTTAAGCTGTTGTAGCACTCCGATTTCCCTTCAGGTTGTGCCACGGGGTGTTGGACACGGCGTCCGTCTGCTCCACTTGTCAGAGCTCCCAGCACGTGGAGCAAACATCAGACATAATACCGGACAACACGCGGTACAAGCTGGAAACACATTGGAGACGCTCTGATCAATAAATAATTTTCAAATCAGCCAACCTGACGAAACTACGACACCATTACAACTGTGCTCTCTTTCCGGTTGAAAAAAAAAACAGAACCTCAAATATTAATTCACCATTTAGGAAATTTGCGACACAGTGAGAGAGTTCCGTGAAGAAAAACCACACTGCGAGGTCTGGAGGTAAAGACCTTTGATCTGGCAACCCTGCTGATGCAATGTGGTCATGGAAGTCAGTAACGGAAAGTACAAGGTGGCTGGGCATGTATGACATGCCACCCAGCTTGCATGCTGTGCTGGCTTGCATCTATGTTAACTACACAGTGACGCGACTACCATGGCAATGCAGGCACGTGAAAACACTCATTATTTGGATAAAAACACCTTAACATATCGAGGACCTCAGAGCTTTGGGTGAAATCTGATGCCATCTAACTATACGGCTGCCTTTCCTCCTTGTCTGTGCTTCCTCGCACCTCTGAGTTGTTCTTTCTCATCGAGAGTGAGTTAATGCTGTGCACATTCAAGGTTTAAATTGTTATTGTATGTGGCTAGCTGCAACTCTTCATCGTGCAAACCTACCACGTAGGCACATTGTGAGGCCACAATCTGCCAAATGATACTGACGGTGAAATGTGTGCTCATGAGAAGGCATGGCAATGATTT